AGTACCACGGCGGCGTAGGCGACCACGAGCCTTGGGCGAGCAACGCGCGCACGAGGAAGCCGCAGGCGACCATCGAGCGCGACCCCACCCCATCTCGCCGCAGGCGAGCAACGCTCATAACCGTCACAGCGCCGCAGGCGACGCAAACGCACGGCGGGCACAAGGTAGCCGCAGGCGACAACGCCAAACATCGAGCGCGACCGCACGCATCTCGCCCGCACCCTATCTCGCCGCCAGGGAGCAACCAAGCCCACGAGCAACACGAGCTCTGGAGCCGTACCAAGTACGCTCGCGCAGACCATGGGAGCGCAAGCGCGACTGCAGGCTAGCATCACGGAGGGCGAGCATCCCGTAGGCAAACACCGAGCACGACCATTCCGCGCTATCGCGCATCTCCTCCCCACCGCCGGCCTCCCTCACGGGCACATGCGGCCGCTCTTTTTGGCTGTCATTCCCAGGTTGGAATACGCGCTCGGGAAAGTGCAGACACACCGGCGCTCTGGAGTCCCCCGGTTCTCGCTTCGCTCGTTTTAGATCACAAAATGTGTTGACGCTTTCTTGGAATTCCAGTCAACTTTTTGATCAAATAAAATGAATTGAAATCTATGAACTGTACTTGTTCTTGTCGGCAACCCATTTCTTTCCCTCTTTGTCCGAGTGCAGAACAATCGAGATGCGAACACCTTTCATATGCATGTTGAAGTGTGTCACTTCACATGAACGAAAGATGATAGCGTTCCACCGTCGCAGACGAAAAAGAAAACCAGGTTCGAAAAAACCTAGCTCCCCACCCTCCCACTCGCCATCCACTAACACAACACAGTATTCGTCGTCAAACTCGTCGCGGTGTCCTTCGGTGCATGCAGCAAAGTTGATGACGTATCCGCCAAAAGGAAAAGCGTCGCTGCGTTGGTTCAGAGGCAGCCGCGTCGCCCAGACACGGACGTGTGTATACTCCTCTGGCATCCGTTTCCGCATCTAAGAGGGCCATGAGTCTGAGTATCATACAGCTGAGAACAGCGAACACTTACATGCATCTCGACGATGGAAACCAACAGCTGGATGAACTCTGCTGTGAGCGCGGATTCTTCAGGCTCGTCTTTCATCTCGCGAGAAGGAAGAGGTGCGCGTTGGGTAACATTTGCCCGCGAAACATCTTCTCTGACGAGCCGAAATGGGTGAACACCCTCTGGTGCATCTGTGCCCTAACCAAATAATCAGCTACTGAAATGGTCGTCATTGTGAAGCAATACCTGTTCACTGTAGCGATTCCAGATACCCTTGTGGACGGCGCAATACGAAAATTTCTCATGCGGCGTGGTGGTGTCTACAGGGTAGATTTCTCCAGGATAAATGGCCGAGAACACCGTAGTCGCAATTTTCGGGAGATGCGGAAGTGTTTCACCTATATTGGTGATAACAGATGCTATGAGCTTGCCGCCTGCACCTCGGATGGTCATGGTTTTTCTAAGGGACGATCAGCTACCACCTTACTAAACAAAATGACCATAAGAAGACCTACCCTTCTGCAATCTCTGTCGGTATACAAAGATAGGATTCAGACTGCTTGACACCCCCAGCATGGAAAGCGGTCGCCTGGCCAAACAATCAGAATTATAAAATGTATATAAGAGGCGTTTACCTTGGTCCGTAAATCTTCTAGACTGGTAACTACTGTGGCTGAGGCAGCAATCTCTCGCTGTTCCCTGGTCCACCTTTCCGAATTTTCAGGATTGACAGGGCAGGGGGTTCGGGTTAGATCTAGATCCGTTTGTATTGTTACCTCCTCCGCGAGAAAACTCTCATCGAAGTCGAAATCCCAGACGCGAAGAGGGAGAGCAGGGACTAAGAGAGATGTCTCGAGAGTGGAGTAGCAGCTGTCGAGCGCCGGTAGAGCAAAGTAACTATAGCGTATGTTCAGAACCCGGACTACATTGATTGGTGAATTGAACTTACTTGTAATCAAACGCTCTCAACCGGCGTTGCATGGCATCGACATCCGAAAACCGAATTCTCTCCGTCTCACCCTGTAAGTTTGGAGGGAAGCGGAGACAGAAAGTTTCGGTTAGATGTGAGGTCATTTGCTTCAGCCAGACCATTTGCGGAAGAATGAGCTCTTTGGTAATGGCTCCGCAGTCCCTAGAGAGAGCCGATGACTCAGGGGTATCTACAGGAGGCTTCAAGTATAAGTTACAGACAATTTCGAGCACTTGCCATTGGGACGACAGAGATAATAACCCAATTTTTCTATCAGGTCGAAATAATCTGTCTTGCATATAGCGGTACGCAAGCCGCAAGCCGCAATCAGTGGTACGATATACATGCTACCTATAGCAGCATTGTCAATGGAGGTCCCAACGTAAAGGAATAAATAACTCACTTGCGGCAGCTAGATATATCAGGCGCGTTCCGGCTGTAAGCCAGGTTTGGATCTTGTCTTTCGTTATTGACCTCCTTCCCGTCACTCTGGCCAATGCGGTGTAGCTGGTTTCGTTTCGCTGCCCGTTTTTTTGACGCCTGTGAATATAGTTAATGAGATGAAAGTAGCACAAATGAGGGGTGTGACCCACCATTCAATGAAAAATGCCGCCTCAATATAGCTGAGCATGAGTTTGAACTCATTTACTACAGCACTGGCCTCGAGATCGCTGCAGCGTAGCATTGCTTGCACGAAACCGTCACAGGTAGAGGGAGGTTGTGTTTGGAGCTGCAGGGCAGACGTAATGAGGAGGAGGTGCGGATTGGAGGTCGCATTCGAGGCACACTGGGCATCCAGCTGCAAGATGAGGTCCAAGACCTTGTGCTGCAATTCCACCGAGAGCGGAACCATCCCTAGGCCGACAATACGGAAACCAACCTCCCGAGTCACCGGAGGTGCATCAGCTTCGGTCCAGGCACCTTTAACCCGTTTAGCGCCTTTGAGACTCACTGACTCGGGCATCTGCTCGAGTTGGGCGCGCATGCCTGCTATGGAAGCAGCCACCTGAGTCTGACGACTCCTTGTACTTGCGCGAGCCCGGTTGGCCCCACGGGGGCAAGGTGGGCGCACTCTTCCCCCACGACCCCGGCCCCGGCCCCGGCCTCGGCCCCTGCCCCTGCCACGACCACGACCTCGGAACGCAGCATCCTCAAACTGGTCCTCTTCATCATGGCCACCACCATCCCCGTCCCCGTCCCCGTCGCCTCCTTGCAGGGCCACTGCTAGCCTCTCAGAGCTCTGCCATGCTGAACAGTCATGGCTCAAACCAGCTTCTGCTGCTTTTCTTTTGCGCAAAGGTAGAAAATCACTAGTAGCAGACTTAGCCGGCGACAAGCCATCCAAAGTCGTGGTGGGAGACAGCGGCTCTTCAATATTCAATGGTGACAGGAGGCGAGGAGGAGGAGTCAAGCAGTGTGAAGCAAGAGGAGGAGTCAAAGAGCGCGAAGCCTGAGAAGATGGAGCAAACATAAAAGCAGGCAGCAAGGTGGTTGCGCGCGGGAGGCGAAGGTCTATGGCTTGAGGCGACTGTCCGTCGACCTCATTGTAGGACTCGGTTGACGAAGGTGACTGTCCGTCGACCTCCCTGGGCAAATCCAAGAGTAAAGATGGTGAAGCAGCAGAGTTTACAGCAGAGCGTGCCACGGCTTGCGGGATAAAGCTTAAAGCACGTCCATGGGAGGCTAGGGTTAGAGATGAATGCAAAGATTCATCCCAGAATGACGGAATCATACTGTAGCTATTCGCAGGACTTTTTCTCTGATTTTCCTTGGTGTTGACATTCTGAGATCTGAGTGGCGTACGAGGCGGCGATACTGGCGGCAGTGTGGTCGCAGCTGGGTAGCTTGTCAGTGGCAGAATAGAAAATAGGTGCATAGTGCTCCTTACCAGTATTCTCAATGCCGCCTCTTTCTTTCAGTGATTGATAAAGGCGCGTACAGGCTGAGGAAGACGCGTTCCTGGGAAGGCCAGTAGTGTATTGAAGGAGGTTGTGCATAGAATGGGCCAGTTCTTGAGCCTCAGCATCTGAGAGTTCGAGGATGAAGGGCATGGAAAGAAATTTGGATGAGTGAGGAAGGGTCACAACCCTCGTGCCCTCGTCACACCGTGTGCAGGATGCATCCTGCACACGGTGTGACCAGAGCAGGTGGAGGAGTCACTCTGAAGTGACTCTCTCTCCGGGATTGTCACCAAACGCGCGACGCGTCCATTAGAAGGCGGCGTCGAAGGACGCTGCCAAACAACACGATCACCCAGCATCGATCCTCCGCGTCTTCCCAGCGGACCGTGTCGGGGGCCATTCGCATGGAGACCAGCCCCGCGTCTGAGCTCTCGCAGCTCCGGCCAGAGTCGCCTTCATCTGAAGCGCGCTCACGCTCGCAATCTCCATCGGCCTTCGACCGAGTCATCTCCAGTACCATCCTCGAGAGCCCGCCTACACCCCCCAACGGCCCACCGTCCACCTGGTGGGGCCGCAATCTCCGTCGCGAGCGCCCGTGGCGTGATGATCCCGGGTCACCTTTGTCTTCCGAAGGTTCGTCTCCGGCGGGATCTCCTCCCTCCAGCCCCAAGACTGCGGGGCGAAAGCTGGTTAAATCAGAGCATGGGAAGGCGAAGGCGAAAGCAGACGAGGAATCGAGCGACGATGAGCAGCACGGCACGCTGTTTGGGGCACCCCTTCGCCGGCGCCCGACAGTTGTGACGATCCCGAAGGAACAGACGGAAGGATGGGAGCGTACGCGCCAGGTTAGCACATATCCTCGTTCGACAGTATTTCCGGCTGCCGATTCTCATTGAAAGCTTTCTCTAGCGCGTTGCCGAAGCGCTCAGCAAGCTCTTGCCTCCGACGCTATTGATCGCTCACGATCTCCTGGAAGTGAGCACGGAAGTCTTGAGATTCGCCCCCATTCCTGGATTGGATGTCGCTGCGTCCCTGCTCCTCTAAAAGTTGAAGAGCTTTATGTTTTGTGCGTCATAGGGGGGCCCTGTAGTATCTTATGCGGCATTATCACTACTTTGTGCTGGGGGTATGGCGCAATGGTTAGCGTGTTCGGCTTCGATGCCTAACAACCGAAAGGCTGCAGGTTCAAATCCTGCTACCCTCGAGTTTTTTTTTGAGCCTCCGCGGATTTTGAGCTGCCGGCATTACCACTTGGGGTTAGCGGACTTTCCCGTCCAAGACTGCTCACACGCTTTCTGTTCCCACCACCACTTGGGGTAAGTTTTTCTCTCTGCTGTCATCCTGACTCTCACACCGTCTAGTCGAGATGGCGCATTACAATCAAGTCCAGAATCCGGTCGAAGAAAGGCGCAACCGGGTTTGTGCCACTTGCCGGTTTTCCGCATCAACTTAAGAAGTTTTTTTCTAGCACGACAAGGCCGCCACTACAGCAAGTGATTTTGTTACCAATGCCAACAAGGGAAAGGCATTCAAGTCCAGCATCCGCAAGGCATTGATGCAGGGTGTCGACGCAGCTCAAGCTGAGCATGACGCTTGGATACTTACCAACATCTCCCGACACAACCCGCACACCATGCGCCACATTGAGCTCATCCGCGGGTACTACGAGACCCTCGTCTCAGAGTGGTCGCCCAATATCCCAAAGGAAGACTGGTGGCTGGCGCCTGTCATTCTCAAACACGCCCCAATCTGCGTCAGAGTCTATGTGCGTGTACTTTTTTTTATTGCGCCCTACCAATCAAGATCTGTCTAGGCAAATTCCGCACCAGGGACACATGGCCGTCTGCACATCAAATCATCAACCCTCGTGAGCTTCACCAACCGCCTCGTAACTGAAATCGCGCATCAGGCGAGGAACGAGGATGGGAGCAAGGCAGGGATGGCCCTGCTCTGCAAAGAGAAGCTCTACGATACGTTGCATAACGCTGTCAACACTCGCAAGTATTTTGTGGCGCATTTTGTACTGCCACTGACTTGATTATCTAGTCGTTATTGAGCTTGGTCTGGACCGTCATGCCGACGAAAAACTCATCTTTGGCGAGCTGGAGCTCATGATGATGATCCAGACTGCTCTCAAAAGCTCAACATCGGGGTTTACTCGTTTGTCAAAGTTGCAAGATATCACTCTTCTTCTCTTCTTGTTCTTTTCTTCGGCGCGGCCTAGCACGCTGGGCCCTACTCACAAGCAGTTTCGGGAAGAGGGCAAGGTACTATTTTTTTCCCATCAAGACCATCCCCCTTTTGACCCGCATTCCCAGTTCCCCCGCCTCGACGCCATCAAAATCGAGGCCCAGGCACTCCTCGCATTTCGTACCAAAGCTCGGATGACAGATTTCAAGGGCCATTACGGCAGTATCGGCCTCGCAGTAACATACAATATGGTCTCCCCTGCGTTATGGGCGAATGTCTTTCTAGACATTAACCTGTACCTCATTCCGCTCCTCGTCGAGCGCCGCGCGCTTGTCGGTATTGAGGCGAGTTTCCTGTATCTTTTTAAAGTCCTCTCACCAGTGTGCCCAGACTATCGAGGACGTGATCAATGGCAACCACAGCCAGCTCCAGATAAAACCGGAGAAGGCGAAAGAGCCTTTGTACGTGCCTCGTTCTTTTTGCCGCGCGCTATTTCGATTTTCTTTCAGTTTCTGTACAATCCTACCGGGCGGCAGGGGCCTTGATCCCAGCAAGCCCATGATGTCCAAGGCCGCGGGAGCGTGCGTCACCACCATGGCATCAGCGGCTTTCCTCAAGGGCGGAGGTGGAGGCTACAAAATGCGTCGCTTCGGCGCTAACATTGTATGTTTTGTCCTCTCATGTTACGCGACCCGAGCTGACATTCAAAGATGGCGCACATCATGGGGAAGGAGACTGCGGAGATGCTACTCACACACCAGACGTCGGGAAGCCTCCACCACTATCAAGTACAGGTAACAAACCTCGACCTCGTGCCGATAATGTTGGCCGAGGATCCCAACCTTGTTTCTTCAGCCGCTGCGGTAAGTATTTCTCCCAAATGTGGAATACACGCAACTGATCCCTTTTTTTGTAGAGCGCAATCAACCTTCAGCGGATGGACTGCCCAGCGGTGTCCGCTATCCTCTGTGCTATCCATTCCGAGGAGCCTCGCCGCCTTCTCGAACACCAGAATGCCGTATCCCTCGAGCCGGTGTCGGAGGAAGATTCGCAAGACGCCGCTAAAGATGCGGTCGAGGCAGCCACCTCCGTCCTTACTAAGGGCCGCGCGCGCACCCGCAAACTGCCCCCTGAGGCCTTGGCAGAAGTCAATGTAAGTATTCTATTTTATACTTGGTTCTGTGCGCACAATTGATTATCGGTGCAGGCGGATCCGAAGGTCGTAGAGCTCCAAGCCGAGCTCGACTTGGCACGGGAATCCTTCAAAGCTCTCTACACCGACTACCGGGGCACTGGCAAGGGGCTCACAACGAACAAGATGAAGGAATGGGCCGATCAAGCAACCCTCATCGATCCAGCCACAAAGGCCCAATCCGATCAAGTGAGTTCTTTTGGCCCTCGTGTGCCCGCTCATCCTTATGTATGTGTTCTAGTACCTTGAGCAGATGCAAGAGCTCGGCCGCAGGCTTACTGCAGCAAAGAATAATAAAAAAAGGACCGTCCGCACTAAAAACGAACAAATCGCCTTTAACAAACTCAAGGAGACCCAGCACAGCGTTCTCGAGTTTCCTGGCACCATCAACGAGCTGCAGAATGTACGCGACCTGCTCAACAATGCAGGACAGACGCTAGTATCGAGCATACTACAGCATTCAAATTCTGCAGCGCCCACCGATTCGTCTGCGGCAGGTCCTTCCTCTGCGACGTCCACTACCACCGCACGCGCCTCGACTTTGACAGCGGGCACGTCGACATCGTCCGCCGCGAGCTCCTCCGCCGCTGCCACGTCGTCCACCAATGCCGCCGCGAGCTCCTCTACCGCCGCCGCTGCGCGCTCCACGTCACCCACCGCGGCGTCCACTACCACCGCAGCGTCCGCTAACACCGCGCGCGTCTCAACGTCGTCCGCCGCAAGCTCTTCCGCCGCTGCTACGTCATCTACCAACGCCGCCGTGAGCTCCTCTACCGCCGCCGCGAACACCTCGACCTTCAGTGTGCGCTCCACGTCGTCCACTAACGCCGCCGCCAGCTCTTCCACCTCGGCAGCAGGGGCCGCGGTGCCCACTGTTGCTGTTCACGACGACCTCTCACTATATGACGACGAAGATGAGTTGATCGACCTTGCCCAAGATCTCGACGGGTTGGCGATCATTGCCCACCGCTCGAACGTCGTCAATCACGACGGCAAAACACCTCAGCGGGCGAAACATGCGCCATTGTCGCGGGGCAGCGACGAGGCCCTGGTCGAGATCGAAGGTCTCCAGATCACCAAGACCGCCGACGGCACAGTCGTGGATATGACGGGGCCGGAGTCCATCTCGGCTGAAGCGATGACAGAGGAGGGTAAAATCTCCACCTACGAGGCGCGCAAGGGGCTCCTTCGTTATCTCGTAGCTCCGCTCAATGAGCAGCGCGAGATTGAAAAGTGCCGCGTGGTTCGTGCTCGTGTTCTTTTACTTCCTGTTGCTTATGTGTTCATGCAAATCAAGGACGAGGGTAAGAAGAGCGGGTACAAATGCCCGAAATGTGCCGCGTACCACCACGACCAAGAGAGGACCGACAAGGTCTTCAAGACCTACAAAGATATCATCCGCCACATGTATGCATTGAGAAATCCACCATATCCACGAGCTGACAAGACCGCTAGAAAAACCCATACCGAATGGACAGATCTGGAGGCGACGGCGGCAGTAGTCGGCGATGACGGGGAGACGGTGACATTTCATTGCCAGCGCTGCACCAAAAAGTATACCGTTCCCTTCTTCGGCGGGCAATACATCTCACACTCTCAGCAGATATGCCGAGATGCGGGGACTGCGCCGCCATTACCGCGAAACCTGCAAAGCCAAGACGGAGTTCATTGACATTCATCTGAACCACCTCTCCATCACGGCCGACCGCACGAAGAAGGCCGGGAAAGGTCCCGCTCCCAAACCCGACGCCTCCACCACCATCACTGCCGAGATTAACGCCTTCCTTGCGCACGAGGGCCCGCTCACTGAGCTCTGCGATTCGGTACGTCTCTCACTTTCCGGGCTTGGATTTTCCATGATTCGTCCCAGACCGACAAGGCCCGCCTCGAGGGAATCTTCACATCTTTGCGCAAGGTCAAGCGCAGCCCTCCTACCGATGCCGAGATTGAGGCGCAGATGGGGCTGATTTTGGCGGCGACGGCGGAATGGCGCGCGAAGCCCGGTGACGACGAATAGTACAATGCTCTCTTGTACGATTGGTAAAATCCATTACATTTTTTGTTCCAGAGTCCATCTAGCGCGCACGCGTGCGAGGCAATAGCAGAGTAGAGGAATTCTAACAGTCTGATAGTAACGAGTCCGTGCGATAATAGTAACGAGTCCATGCGATAATACCAGTGTAACGAGTCCATGCGATAATACCAGTGATGAGTCCATGCGATAATACAGTCAAAGCCGAGTGCGTGGGTGGGAAGAATTGCGATAAAGACACCATGCAATAGTAGCGGGTCCGTGTGCGTGCGAGTCGAAAGTGGAATGCGTGCTGTGGGAAGATGCTAGTGAAGAAGCCATTGGAAATCAGAATGCTAGTACTCATAGCTCAGGAGGGGTCGGTATCCATTGGATGATCCTCAGCGGGAGGGCGAGAAGAATATGAGTCGGGCGTGTAGGTGTCGTTGAACCGGTTATGATAGGGAGCTTCATAACTAGGGACGCGGTGCACGTCCTCACGAGGGCCGTAAGCGTAGGGAGCATCGACTTGAGGAGAAAAGGAACCGCCAGAATATGCGGGACCGCCGCCGCGAGGGGGAAAACCGCCCATATGGTGCGGTGGAGCGTCAGGGTGGCCCGGGTTCATGCGGGAACGATTCTCGGGGTGATAGTATTGTGGCGAATAATGAGGAGGCGGAGGATAGTGAGGCGGCGGAGGATAGTGAGGTGGATAGTAAGAGTCGTGGTGATGATGGTGGTAGGGCTGAGGGTTGCCTGCCGTCGGATCGGAGCGGTCGGGGCGGTCGGGGCGCGAAGCGAGCGGGGGACG